GCGACTGGAGCCATTGGTGAAGTCTCCTGGACGGGGATGTGCGCAATGCGTGTACAACGGGGGTGTCTCAGCGGTCAGGAATACGAGGCGCCCCACAGAATTGTAACGAACTGGCTTTGATTACTTAGTAATCTGTATACAATGCTAGGCCCACACATGCGCTAGAATGGGGTATGACCCACCAAAGACGTGGTGACATTCTCACACTAGTTTTTTATGTTTTCACAGTTTTGACGTCTGTAGTGTAGAGGAGCATCTGGTAGGATCATCTCCAGCACGGGTGGCCTGATACTAGTTCACGCCCACCAAAAAGGTACTCCGGCTCCACGAGGGGCTTACCAAGCGAGAGAGCGCGCTGCTGGTGCAGCTACGGACTGAGAAGATCGGCTTCAACGACTTCCTCTTCGCCCGAAGAGTGCCAGACGTCAGCAGCCCGCGCTGCGACTGCGGAGCGAGACGACAGACCGTCGCCCACATCCTCCTCCACTGCAGCAAGCGCAGGAACCTCCGGAACCGCATCTTCGCCAACCTGTCCGGACGAGACAGCATCCGGGCCATCCTAAGCACGCCACAGCTAGCCACCAAAGCCATCCAGTATGTAGAGCAGACGCAGATCCTTGGGCAAAATGGGGATCGCAGGAACGAAGACGACAGCCGAGCGCTGGGGGAAGACTGAAGGTATTGCAGACGCAAAACACGAGGCACGCGTGCCTCTACAAGCCTAGAAGTACAGTGTTCAGCTAGTAGAGTCATTATCTAGATGAGGTTGGCAGCCACGCGTAGATAGTGATGAGAGGAAAACGATGGCTCTTAGGAGTGAAGTGGGGCGGCGCGGATCAACGTCCGCACCGCGTCGGCTGTCTGCCAAGCCTGCCAGCCGGGCATAGCTGCATTTCGCGGCTGCAACCGTGTAGGACCCAATCAAATCAAATCAAATCTGATACTAGTTCAGACAGGGGAAGGAAATGTTTTTCTTATTCTTTTGTTACGTTGGTTGTTGTTGTACTTGTTGTACTTGTTGGCCTGATTAGA